AAGTTTCAGACGATGCTCAACCACGACACCTTGCAACACGCTGGCATCACGCGTGCTGCCTCTCGGCCATCCACAGCCTGCACACGCAGCACTTTCTTGCATGCATGTCCTGAATGGGCTGCGTACCGCACCACTGACTCTTGCACTGCAAGGGAGGCTGTCGGGCCCTCGTTAGCGCAACAAAAGCAACGCAAATGCCAGAACCCCACAATCAATTGGCTTTATAGTTCGTCATTCATTCGTAATTTAGCCGATTTTGTGTTGCGACGCTTGCAAATGGCGACTTAGCGGGCCGTAGTACCAACTTCAAAGAGATCTTCGGCGTCCGACGTCGGGTCCAAATTTTTGGGCCTAATGAAACAAACGCCGAATTTCCTCCATCCAGCCGCTACAGCGGCTCACAATACGGTAGTAGTCCGCCTCAAACGTTGCACAGTGGTCTGGCAGGACCTGCAGCAGGACCTGGACCATGCCTATGAGAGAGTGCAGTTCTCCCAAATTCCCTCCCGATCAAGGAGACCAGCTTTTATGAAAAAATTCTAACAGCGGTCTTGTTTCGCGATGGGTGGTCACGCAATCCAGCCATACCCAAAAGGTTTGCTCGTATGTGCAGGACCATCACAGGCGGTTGCTCAAGCTTCAGTGGTGGGGTTGCTGTGGGGACATGCCCCCCCTCTATCTCGCTCGTGCAGCGCCGGTATGAGCTCATACAGACAATCATGCAAGTGCATGAAGAACGAGGGGTGGGCCTGTGAGGGAGGAACACAAGGTGCCCTGGACGAGACCAACATGCGGGCGAAAGACTTGACTGCTGTGGCCGCCACACGCCTGAAAACAATCATCAACGCAACACAGAGTACCTTAGTCACCATTTTTATGGCGCCGGCCGCGTTGTGCAGGATTGCTGCGCAACACGCAAAGGGCTCCTACATCGCCTCCTGCACGTGAAGCAAGGCCTCTGGCAGGACAGCGGGACAGCCGCTGATGCGGCGGTCTCTTGCAAAGCCCTGCCAGCACCGTGCTGGCCGCAAGCCGTGACGGCTTGCTGGCCAAATCAGCACTTGCCATTTGTCCGACCGCCACAACATCTTTCGGCGGCAGCAGCACGACATGCACATCAATCACAGCGACACGCTCCAAGATCGACCACCCTGGCCGCAGCTCGTTGGGCTGTGTTGAGATACAAAATAGCAACTAAGCACTGGGTATGGTTGTTTAGTGTTGTTCTGCCAATATCAGCCTGCTGCCAGTAATTGCCAAATGCCAACCAAAATATGCCAGCGAGGGCGAATTACAAGGCTCTTTTTGTTGCCTGCTTGTTATGGATTATCACTCGCGCCGCGATGGTCGAGTGCGGCAGTGCTCTAAGTTTCAGCACTTAGGCTCGCTTGCTCAGTGTTGCCTGCGCGTACCCGGCGAAACGGCACGCCGGGTAGTAATTAGGGTCACCCTTAAAAATCATCTTTGGCCGGACAGGTGATGTCTGGGGACCGGCATAGTTGAGGTTTCTCAGTATATATTGTTTTGGTCAGGTCAGACTCACTGCCAGGTAAAACATGCGCCCACTACGGTACAAGTTGAATCTTGGCGCGCGAATTGGCAAGGAAGCTGCCGTCCTCTGAGAGGTGCGGCGTCTTTGGGAGCACCCACCCATATCGATGTTTGGAGTGGGCCTCAAGTCTATCGTTCAAAAATACATCGTACTGCCAATTAACAGTTTGGTAGTCAGTTGTGGGTGCTGCCTGATGGCCTGGTCAATCAGCACAATACCTTTCATAAAGCCTGCCTACGGCAGCCGTTGGGTGCGCGCTGCAGCGACCGTGACAGCAGCACATATGTATGTTTGTTGCGCTGAGCACCGCATTGGTAGCTACCTGTTATATTGACAAGTTGCATGCGTCAACTGGGTGATACATGCGAATGACCCACACTCGCCTTCCTAAACTGGCATTTAAAACTTGTGCCCCCTGGCCCGTGCGCTGCGGGCCGGCGGCGCCTCCGTCTCATGGCATGATGTAGCGAGGCGAGCCTGTGCTGCTTTAGGCACCGAAATCCCCGGTCACCCAGGCGACGCTTGCTCTGACCGCCCCGCTTGGAAAGAGGCTGGCTGATCTCTCCTGCCAAGGAGGCGCGCGCCCTCTCACTCATGCCCTGCTTGGCTGCACCTGCGCGCTCCCCTGCCAGTGGCCTTTTGAGGTGGGGGGCACAAACCCCCATAGGGAGCCAGGTTTTCCCCTCGCTACCGGCAAAGCACGTTGTAACGTACACTCCCGACGCTATGATAGCTAAAGCGCCGTGCACCCTGCTACTGTCAATCCTATGACCAACAGTGTCGCCATGCAAAGGCCTTGATTGTCTGATTGTGAGCAGCAGCAAGGTACCAGTGTGTTCCAGCAGATGGGCGGGCGGCACCCCTCTAGGCAGCACAAGCCCAACATTAATTCAGCCCAGATCTTGACCCACTCGACAGGCTGCAGCTTTGCACAATCAACTACTCGGCCGCGCCCCGTGGTCGCAACGTAGCATCTTCATAGCCGCTGCTATTTACATAATAATGCCATAAAACCCTGCAAACAGATGAGTCAAGAATTGTCCGATGAAATAACAATTGACCTACGCTGCGGCCCAACCCTTACGGCAGGACTACGCCGGCACCTCCTCGCCGCTCGCCAGGAGCACGCCGTGCTGCCCGCCGAACGTGGCCGCCAGCACGCGCCGCCGCCCGAACGCCTTGTTGCGCCGCATGCGCGTGGGCAGCCGGTTGTCGTCGTCGTCCTCGCCCTTGGCCATCTGGAAGTTCACGTTTGAGCCCCAGAGGTACAGGTTCCCCTGCCGCGTGACCGCCGCGCTCACGTTTGTACCGGCCGCGATGCCCACCACGGCCTCGTCCCGCAGGCCGTCCGCGAGGTCGATGGGGAACGGCGCGTGGTTGTCGCTGCTGCCCGCGGCCACGTCCACGTTGGAGCGGCCGAGCATACCGTAGGTCGGCGCGCCGAACGAGAGGACGTGGCCGGCGCGCGTGAGAGCGAGCGTGTGGTGCTCGCCGCCGGCGATGGCGGCGACGCGCGAGAGCGCGCCGACCGCGCGGGGCTCCCAGTGGAAGTGGCCGCCGCCCTGCTCCCCTTTCCGCTCCCCGGCTGCGCCCTCACCACCACCACCACCGCCGCCGCCGCCACCGCCGCCCGCGCCGCCGGCGCCTGCGGCGGCGGCATCGTCGGCCGCCGCCGCCGGCGCGAGCGGCAGGGCGAGCTGGCCGGCGTTGTTGAGGCCCCACGCGGCGACAGCGCCGCGGCTGCTGAGCGCAAACGTGCCGTACGCGCCGCACGCCACATCAGCGACCCCGCCGCCGCCGAGCGCGGCGGACACGCCCGGCACGGGCGCCGGCGTTATGAGGTCACCCAGCGGTGGGAAGCTCTCCGTATCGTAAGGGGCGACGCGCCCAAGCTGCCCCTGGCCGCCCATGCCCCAGGTCAGCACGTCGCCGCCGCGCGTCAGCGCTGCCATGTGGCGCGCCCCGGCGGCGAGCTTGAGCACGCGGCCGTGCGCGTCGGACGGCGCGTGCACCTTGGACGGCAGCCGCTGCAGCTTGCTGCCGCTCGGGGCGCCGGGGAAGCCCGCAGCGCCGCTGCCGTCGTCCTTGAAGCAGCCCCACCCCCAGATGGCGCCGTCCGCGTCGATTGCAAAAGTGAAGCCGTCGCCCGCGGCGACCTGCACTGCACGCACGCCGGCGGGCAGGCGTGCCAGGCCAGGCAGCGCGGGGTCCTCTTTGCCGGCGTCGTCTTCCGACTCCCAAGCTGACCCGCTTGTTGGACGGCCGAGCGCGCCCTCATCGTTGACGCCCCAGGTGTAGACGGCGCCGTCGCGGCCGAGTGCCACGGTGTGCATGCCGCCGGCGGCGACCTGCACAATCTCGGCGGGGCTGCCATCGACGTTGTCAACCTGAACTACTGCTGGTCGTGACTTTTCGGTGACGTCCTCGCCCAGGCCGAGCGCGCCGAACGGGTTAGATCCGAAAGCGAAGCACGATCCGGCCTCTAAGGGGACTAGGATCTCTTTGACCTCAAATCTTCTACGTTTGACCCTGCCGTCCTGCGCCTTTGCGGGGCCCTTGCCTGCAGCTGCTGGTGCTGGCCGCTTGTTGCGTGCTGCACGCTTCGCCGCTGGTGCTGTGGATGGGGGTTCAGAGTCAAGACCATCGCTGGCATCGGCCTTGCGCTTCCTGGGTGGCATGATGCTGATCTCAGATCCGGTGAGCCGTGCTAAGGAAAAAGCCGTGCGCAGCGGATGCGGTCACCTCAAAAATATAATTGAGAGTATGTGGGGCCTAACGCGACGTGCTGGGTCGAAGACCCGTGTCAAAGTCGGCTTTGACGGCTGTACTTATGTGTCGTAGTCGCTGCTGCTGGTGCCAAATGAAAGCTGCGCATGCCGGTAATATTGTGATTGTGTTGTCATTTGAGTGAAAAATATGGCACTAGATTGTGGTCTGCATGCATCAGCTACGCATGGAAGTGCGTGTGCGGCGTGGCGCCACTGACAGGGACCTTGCGTGCCAACAGCAGCAACACAGCTGTCGCCATAAAGCATGCACAGGACGGGGCAAGCGGGTCTTACCCAGTAGAGGGATCATACCCAATTTTGCATGCCAGTGGAGATACATACTTGTGCCTGTACATTCACGTAGCGCTCACCTGAAGGTGACTCACGCCAGACCGCACACGTCTGTCATGCGAGTGGTGGGTTCGCAGCAGCCCCTTTTCAACAGGCTACGGCTGCGCCGTCAAGGCAGGCACATTTCCAGGTGGCTACCACACGCACAATAGACTGATGCGCACATCGTGGCGTGCTGCGGGTTCTTTGAACTCAAGGCACACCCGATGTTGAGCAACAGCAGTCTTCGATGCCACGCTCCACATGCGGCTGCAGCACAGGCAAATTCAGTGCGTGCCGCAGCATGGCTGTACAGCCTGCTTCTTGTTGTTGCCGCCTGGCAGATGATTCTGCCTGTTCATCTCCATGCACCCATCGCATATGTTGGCTGCGAGCGCTGGCCAGGTGGCATGCACAGTGTGCGGCGGTGACATCTGCAACGAACCAGATGTGGCCAGAAACAAGCTCTCTCCACAGCCAAACTGAACATCTATCTGAGGGCTCATGCCGCCAATCTCAATGCAGATGTGGCGTGCAGCACGCGCTGATGTCAAACCATGAATCCGCATTCATGGCCGCTTCCAACACCATCAATTAATACCCTGAAGCAGTGCGCGAGTGTGCCCAGCCCGCATCAAACCTGCGCTCACTTGCTGTTCACAGGACACAGTGCTTTTGCAGCATTTCTCAACCCATGCGTGCAGGCAAATGGTGATTGCTCACCACATGCACTCACAATTATCCCACAAAACGCCTTCCGAAACGCCTGCAGGAACAGCGCTGCTCGCACCGTTTGCTGCGCAATTGCGCAGTGACAGCAGTCGGTGTGCACCAAGGGCTTGTGCTTACACAGAGGCCCTGCTTTCAGGCGCCTGCTGCGCTACCTTGTTGCCCTTTGTTCAAACTTCATATCCCAACTTGCATCCTCTCATCCACCCACAGGTATATACCTGTCAACCGCTGCCCCTGGACAGCTGGTGCCCTTGGTGGGGTGGGGACAACAGGGACACTC